GCATCCGCATCGTCATCGTCATCATCACTGATGACGTCACCGGCATCCACATCGTCATCGTCATCATCACTGATGACGTCACCGGCATCCACATCGTCATCGTCATCATCACTGATGACGTCACCGGCATCCGCATCGTCATCGTCATCATCACTGATGACGTCACCGGCATCCACATCGTCATCGTCATCATCACTGATGACGTCACCGGCATCCACATCGTCATCGTCATCATCACTGATGACGTCACCGGCATCCACATCGTCATCGTCATCATCACTGATGACGTCACCGACATCCGAATTGTCATCGTCATCATCACTGATGACGTCATCAGTGACGTCACTGATGTCGTCACCGGCATCCGCATCGTCATCGTCATCATCACTGATGACGTCATCAGCGACGTCACTGATGACGTCACCGACATTCGCATCGTCATCGTCATCATCACTGGTGAAGTCATCAGTGACGTCACTAATGACGTCATCGGTACCCGCATCGTCATCGTCACTGATGACGTCATCAGTGACGTCAGTGATGACATCATCGGCATTGGGGGTCACGTGACCCCCAAGGTAACGTGACCCCCCCCTGGTTAGTTTAACCCCCCCAGTGCCCTTCCCTCCTCCTCCTCAAGAGCTGCGCTCTAATTCGGCGTTACAGGGAGTTGTAAGCGGCTTTCATTTTTTTTATTTTATGAGCAAAAGGCACGAGACGCAGTGAGCAGTGACAGAAAAGGTTCGGAGGTTTAGTTGCCAGACCAAGAGGTGATCTGGATTGCCCCTGCAGAGAACTGAGAATTAATTTAGACTACCTCTAGAAAGAAATGTTTGCTTTTGCAGAGATTGATTTCTTAGTTGCTGATTGAACCAGGGATATTGTTTTCGTGGGCATTGTTTCATTTTACGAATGCTTCAAAGCGTCCTGCCTTCTGCTCCATTTTATTATCTCGTTTATGGCACTTCATCAAAGTTAGGTGATTTTGCTCTATCAAGACAGTGAACAGGTAGTTTGTTGTGAAAATTTCTTTATTTCTTAAAGAAAAACCTATAACTTCATAAATAGAAGTGGGATAACCTGGAATATAATATTTCATTCTCGGAAGTAAAACTGAGCATCGACTGGAGCCATGTAAACAATTGGGCAATCTGAAGTATATATCACAGACATTTTGTTGAACATTCCCGTCTTATTTGAGCACAATAGTTGAATCTCAAAACGAAAAAAAAAAAAGAAATTCTCCGACTAGCATACCACCATATAAACACTAGACCACTCCAAAAGAAGTATCACATATGTTGCTCCAAACATTCTTATTTCAGCCTAGCAATAGCAAATTCTCGAAAACAAAATTATTTCTGAGTAGAGATGCACCGTATAAACACTGGGTCATCCTCAAGAAATATATCACATGTTTTAAGGACGCTATGCAGCACATAGTCTCCAGATTGCATTTCGTCAGACATATGACGACGCTACACATAAAAAGCATAAAGGCTAAGTTCTTTGCTTAGGTAAGACAAAATAAACGTAGCTAGTATTGCAACCCATGACTAGACTGCGGGCCTCTTAAGTTCTCAATGAAATATTTATTGACACCAGACAGCAATGAAAGAACACTTCCTATAGTTAGCGACGGGTTAAGAATTAAGTGGAGGCTTCTCCCACCTCTTCCCACTTCAGCAAAGCAAAGGCTGAAAAGGAGCTTGCTTCCTCTCCACTGTTCGCTCTGCAAAAGTGCAAAGAGTTGGGAGGAGCTTCCACTTCACTGTTAACCTGTTGCCGAGTACAGCTGTCGCTGTTCGTCCAACACAAGGCATGGCTTGCTTGGGCATAAATCCGTCTGTTGCCCAGCCAATATTTTCTACTTGCTTCACGGGCAATAGCCAAGGAAAATGGACAAACCCAGATCTTGGCGATTGCTGTAATCTGACCATTGCGCCAATCTCAAAGGCTACAAAATTAAACGGCCGGCTTGGCACGTGTAAAAAATAAATAAATACATTTAATGGTTTCAGGGGGGGGGGGGGGGGGAGGGGGGGGGCGGGGGCTGCGCTTGGAGCTGCGGCCAGGGCTGCGGCAAGGGCTGTGGCCACAGCAACGGGGTGGGCTGGGCTGTGGCCAGAGCTGCGGGGTGAACCGGGGCTGCGGGGAAGGCCGGGGTTGCGGGGTGGGCCGGGGCTGCAGGGTGGGCCGGGGCTGTGGGGTGGGCCGGGGCTGCGGGTTGGGCAGGGGCTGGGGGCTGCTCCAGTGCCCTGCTGGCCAGCAGCAGGAGCAGTTGGACCAGGATGCTGTGGTTGTTCTCGAGTCCCAAGGCAGTCCTGTCTATGTTACCAGAGATCCGTTTCAGGACCTCCAGGAGCTGAAATGGCAAAGGAGTTTATTAACATAGGGCAGCATATTTCCATACACCCGCAGTCTGCCAAGACTTTGCTCATGCCACAACTCTGTTTCATTCTGCGCCATTGTGGACCTGCACTGATTTCTGTGGCCTCGTGGAGGCACCTTGGTCTGAACCTTGCTGGTTGTAAGTGCGCGTAAGGTTTAGTTTGAGCCTGTACCCCGCCTCGGAACTCCCTCTCCTCTGCAGCCTGGTCCGTTTTCTGTTGCAGCAGCAGGGCCTGCTGCTCCACGGCCTAGATGGCAGCTGCGTCGTGCCGCTCCTGCCTATACTGCCGAGGGGGGGGGGGGGGGGGGCAGGGGGGGGGGGGGGGGGACGAGGCACGGTGGGCCGCACCCACGGCCCCTGGCCTGGCGTTGCGTCTGCCAGGAAACCGAGAATAGGTGATGATGGTGCTTATACCTGCACCACTGGTGATAGGACCCAGTTTCCCTAGCAAGAGAGCTTACCTCGTGAGGTGGAGGGCACCTGCTCGGCTGCCATCTCGCGCATGCTGCTGCTTGGCCTCTCCTGGAAGGGGAATTTATAACTCGTGAGAACACACAGCCTTGTCAGTGCTTCCCATTTGTTGACTAAAGATTTTGACGAGCATGCATTCTACTCGGGGGAGAACATTTTGAGAATGCTACCTCAGAGGCATTCTCACTTTGTTCTTTTGACAACGTTTCCATTGAATACTGGGATATATGTCTAGTGCTAGCATATCATCTTCCCAAGAATTACAAGCAAGACACCACAGGGATTTATTGCAACAGCTAGGGTCAAGGTGTCAAAAATGACGCATGTCCCTGTTTGAGTGTCAGTCATTAGATTTCGCCACTACATGGACTGATGTAGTGTCTTTCGCTAGAGCTCCTACTATTTGCTAAAGGCCAACGCCTTTCTTAATTGCATCCTCATTGATAATCCGCGGTGCAGCTTATTGGGGCCCGCTGCACTGCACTCTTTTTTAACATGATGGTAATTGTTCAAGTACGTACCTGCTGGTCGTCCAATTCGCCAAGGACACGTACCGCAGGGGCCCCGAGCGCCGATCGGCGCCCACCAGCGTCAGGATCCTGACCAGGGACGACGCTAGTGGGCGCACAGTCGAGCTCCCACCCCCAGTCCTTCTGTTGACAACGAAAACGAGTCAATAAATTTCTTTGCACTATCAGCAGACTACAAAGCTGCTGCACAGCTCAACGAGGCCTTGCGGCCTCGTTGAGCTGTGCAGCTCGCTTCCGTGCCTTCATCACGTGCCGGGACCAATGCTCCTTCCACTGCTTGGAGCTCTCGGTTGGAGGCCCCAGCGCGTTCAGGCGCAGAGCGAGCTGCTCCCACAGCCGCCGCTTATCGTCCCGCGTCAGGGCACGGAGAGGTAAGTGGCATTGCGCGCGAGCGACGGGTGCTCACACATGACGGAGAGTTGCTCTTCCTTCTAAGCAGCCGTCACTCGCGCGCTCCTCGTTGGTTCCGCCGACCCCTCCGCTGCCCCCGGCACCCCCGGCTTCACGTGGTCCAACATTTTCGTTTGAAGAAGGCGCGTAGCGTGCATCCCGCATAATATTGGAACAACTTTCTCTCCAATTAAGTCATAAATGTATTGCAAAAGGACACAAAAAAGCGGTTTGTTTTAACAACGCCCCATTTTTTATTGTTTTTCAATACTTTTACCCGTACTAGAACAGATACGACGGCCAGCGACGCTGGGGATTGGTTGCCGTTCGTTCACTGAACGCAGAAACCGCTCCCCACGTCGTAGTAAAACCTACCCCGTATCCCGCGCGTAGGGACAGCTCGGGGACTGCGTAGCTCCTTCCGCTCGTCGGGGCTCTGCTCCGGACGTCAAGCCGGAAAGTGAGTTTCCCAAACTTTTTTCTGGGCTGGGACACGTGAAAGAAGCTTACAAAATTGAGCTACGAGATGACGCAGTTCCTTTTGCACTGATGACGCCTCGGAGACTAGCCATTCCCTTGCTAGGCAAGACAAAGGAGAAGCTTGAGGAAATGGTCAAGATGCAAGTAATAGAACCCGTGGAAGAACCAACAGAGTGGTGCTCTGGGATGGTTATAGTCGCAAAATCCAATGGAGACGTGCGCATCTGCGTAGATTTGACTGGGCTGAACAAGTACGTGAAAAGAGAAGTGCATCCTTTGCCAATTGGAGAACACGTGCTGGGACAACTCGCTGGGGTGAAATACTTTTCTAAGATTGATGCCAACTCCGGATTTTGGCAGTTTGAACTAGCCGAAGAGTCTCGACATATGCCGACCTTCATAACACCTTTTGGAAGGTTCAGGTTCCGGAGATTGCCCTTCGGCATCACATCAGCACCGGAGTTTTTCCAGAAAAAGATGACACAGTTTTTCGAAGGTCTGCAAAGGGTCCGGTGCAACATGAACGACGTCCTTATCTACGGAAGCACTCCAGAAGAGCATCATGAGAGGCTTCGTAATGTTCTCCAATGACTCCAGGACAGGGGAATGACCCTAAACGCAGAGAAATGTGAATTTTTCGATAAGCAAGTTAAGTTCCTTGGGGGGGGTTCCAGTTAAAAGCGAAAGTCTCCTTGCAAAATACCTTTGCTGTGTGGGGTCTGGGCAATACGTAGAAGTTAGCCGTAGAAGCCGCCTACGAATCCACCGTAGCGGCCGCCGTAAGATCCACCGTAGCTTCCACCGTAAGATCCGCCGTAACTTCCTCCGTAGCCGCCTCCGTATCCGTGCCCCAAACCACCGCCAAAACCGCCAAAACCGCCAAGACCGCCGCCGTAGCCGCCGAAGCCTCGACCGAATCCTCCGCCAAATCCTCCATGACCGAGGCCTAAGCCTCCGCCGTGGTGCAGCAGACCGGCGATGGCCACGGCCAGTGCAACGCAGAACACGGCGAGAGAAAGCTGTAAAATCGAACAAAATTCAACAACTGCATAATGTCTAATGACATGTGTGTATCAAGATTATATGAGACTACCCGGTGCCAAATCTGGTTTAAAGTGAACTAATGCAGATATATTGTGAGTACGACCAGACCCAAACAAGATCAGAGCAATTGTCGATATGAAAGTGCCGTCAAATGTGTCTGAACTAAGAAGTTTCCTCGGAATGGTAAACTACCTAACGAAGTTCGTTCCAGGCATGTCAGAGATTGCCTACCCGCTAAACTGCCTACTAAGCACAAAAACGAGTGGATCTGGACAAGCGAACAACAAAGAAGTTTCGACCAGTTGAAGAACGCATTGACAAGGAGCCCAGTGCTGGCACATTACGACCCAGGGAAGCGCACAATCATTTCGACTGATGCTTCATCGTATGGGCTAGGAGCGGTACTCCGCCAACAACAGGAAGATGGAGCGTACCGACCCGTCGCCTATGCCTCAAGGACTTTGACTGAAACTGAAAGGAGGTATGCGCAAGTGGAGAAAGAAGGCCTGGGAGTCGTGTGGGCATGTGAAAGGTTCCAAGATTTTATAACCGGACTTCACGTCCTGATTGAAACAGATCACAAGCCCCTTCTGCCAATTTTCTCGTCAAAAAACTTAGCGGACATCACTCCACGACTTCAAAGGATGAAACTTCGGATGATGCGATTCTCGTACGACATGAGACACATTCCTGGAAAAGCCTTGGTTACTGCCGATCTTCTATCTCGGAAGCCTCTACAGGAGACAGGTCAAGGGGACTTTCAGGAGAAAATTGCACTGTATGTCAGTGGACTTACAGCATGCTTGCCGGCAACCGACCATAGGTTGAAAGAAATCCGATAGAAGCAAGTTGCAGATGTCACGTGCAGGACACTGGTCAAGTACGGTGAAGAAGGCTGGCCGACACGGAATGGGGTTCAAACTGACTGCAGGGATTACTGGCCTCATAGGTCAGAAATAGCTTTGCAAGACGGTCTCCTCATGAGAGGATCCCGCATTATTATTCCTCAGTCAATGCGCAGTGACATCCTACAAAGACTTCACGAAGGACACCAAGGCATTACCAAGTGTAGGGCGCGCGCCCGACAGTCTGTATGGTGGCCTGGACTTTCCCGTTAAGTGGAAGATGTGGTACGCGCATGCACACAGTGCATCCAAGAAACACACAACCGACACGAACCACTGCTTCCATCAAAGTTTCCAGATAGACCATGGCAAAAAGTCGCAATGGACCTGTTTTATTTGGAAGGAAAAGACTACCTCCTCGTCACCGACTACTTTTCAAGGTTTCCAGAGATTGCACTTCTCAACAGTCTGACGGCGACTACAATAATAACTCACCTGAAGTCTTTCTTTGCAAGACATGGAACACCTGAAGTAGTCTTTAGTGATAACGGACCACAATTCCGAAAAATACAAGGGTCGGAGTTCCAGAAGTTCGCCGAAAGTTGGGGTTTTGAACACAGAACATCCAGCCCACGTTACCCCCAAAGTAATGGCTTCGTGGAAGTTGCTGTTGCCATTATCAAACGTAGTTTGAAGAAAACTGGGGACAGCTACGTCGCGTTACAAGCCTACCGCTCGACACCGTTGGGTAACAGCTACAGTCCAGCAGAGTTGTTAATGGGGCGGAGATTGCGTACTTCTCTACCAACGGCTGACTACCTTCTTCAGCCAAGTCAGGTAGATAAAGAAGCCCTCAATCTTTGGGAAGAACGTAGGATCATGAATCCGAAGCGTAACTATGACCGACGACACGGTATCCGCCGGCTTCAACCTTTGATGCCCGGGGATAGAGTGTGGATAACCGATCGACGCGAAACTGGAATAGTGCAGTCGTCGGTGGACACTCCAAGGTCCTACTCCGTCAAAACACACGATGGGAACCTCAGTCGGAACCGATTTCATCTCGACCCGATTCCGACAGTGCCCAAATCACCTGACCTTCAACCGCAAGATACGATTGCGGAAAGAACACTAGAGCCGACCTATGGGACCCCACATTCCGATCACGTTGTGACCCGAAGTGGCCGAGTAGTCAAACCCATAGTACGCTTTAGTCCTTAGCTAAAAGGGGGAGATGTGCTAGGAGCTATAGTCATCGCGAGGCGTGAGCCGGAAACGACGACGATGAAGAAGAGGGAGGGGCGCTCGAGACAGATGATTAAATGGCTGATTCTAAACGGACGCTGGTTGAGTCCTGAGTTCCTGAGGGCCTGACAACACAAAGACTTCACTTCCGTGTACTTTTAGAAGGAACATGTACGATGTAGAGCTTAGCCATACAGCTCTCCTATGTAGGGGGATCGGTGGAAGAGGGGCGGCCTCTTCAGTCGGTGGAGGACAAGAATGAGTTTTAATAACGCTGACGTGAATACCAAAACAGTAAGAGGAAATTTCATCGAAAGTGTAGCATATACTCGCGTGGTATGCCGTGCACTCCCTGAACCCCCTGATTGGTTGCCAATACCAGATGAGTTGGTATATTTAAGAAGATTTTAATGCGCTGACAACCACCGCTAAGTGGCTGATTCGCTCTTAAACAAATTGTACGTGTGTGAATGACTGTGTGCTTTTTCATTTTGTGTTAACCAGAAACAAAGAAGAAAAAAAATTGGTGGCCGAGGGGGCTAGCCCACACCAGCTCGGAGCACGTGGAGCGAAAGCTCGCGCTGCGAAACCCAGGGGTGCTATGTTGCGCTTTTTGCACTCCCAGGAGACTTGGAAGAAGGAAGTGACGTCAACGACTAGAGCAAACGCAGATTGGATGTTGACAGAAGAAAACAAAATCAACATCCAATCTGCATTTGCTGCGTTGTTGACGTCACTTCCTTCTCCCTAGTCTCCTGGGAATGCAAAAAGCGCAACATAGCCCCCCAGGTATCCTGGGTTCAATCCCCCACCCCCTGCACGTTTCAAACTAATATATGAGCATCGTACCGGCGTGCGGTCCTGTATGACAACTGCTTGGTGCACGTTAAAGACCCTAGGGTAGCGGTTGTACTGCACTGACTCAATTTCTCATCTACTGCTGAGACACGAGACGTCCATTGGGGGTGGCTAACTTTCGGCGGTAAAAACATACAAGACACACAATTGTTTCCGTCATCCACCTCAGCCTATAGCTTTCAGTCACTAATCTCCTCAAACGCGAATATTCTTTCTGCTATGATATACCCTCTAAGAAAAGCCCGTGCTTCCGCCTTCCCGCACAACACTCGGAGTCTGAGTTGTGACATTAAGCAATGCAAAACTTCACACTTGCATTGCTTAATGTCACAACTCAGACTGCGTTTTTGGTCTAAAGATATGTGACCAACCCCGGCTACAATCCCAACAACCAACCTGACTACGGCCTCTATGACAAACAGTCTTCAACCTTGATGACGAGACTGATGACTACACTGATGATGACCCAGGCTAAGACTCGAACAATTTCATGGAAGACGATCCCGACTACGGCTTTGACAGCGACCCAAGGACAATCCGGACGATGACTTTAAAGGGCAACTCCGGCCAAAACTCAAAATTAAAGAAATTACTGGTATCGCTGTAGTGACACAAAATACGACCCCAGCCAAAATATTACGTCCGTGGGACGTCGCATTCTCACCTAATGCCGATAACAAAAATGTGACCCGCCGCGAGCCGCTGCTCCTTAGCGGGCGGCTAGCGGGTTGCCGATCATTAAAGCAACATTGGGCCGTGACGTCAGTATCACTCTCTTTTTTTCCTCCGGTCCGGGCGTTACGCGGAGTGCGCTTCTTTGAGCCGCTACCACCGCTACTTGGACTTGTGATTGGCATGTTTAGCCGTTGCTTTTATCTGTAGCCCGTGTAGCTTCGGTATAGCCTTTTGTTTATTTGCTTGTGAGGACTGCAAGGCTGGTTTTAGCGAGCAACGCGTAGCGTCCAAGACTGCCCAGCTGTTTCTCGAAGGATGCTGAGTACAACTTGTAGCGCTGTGGGCTGCTCAAACAACCCGCTGCACAACCCGGAGGTGCTTTTTCACAAGTTTCCAACGTACCAGAAATTGAAAAAGGTGTGAGTGAACGCTGTTCGACGAGTGGACTTTGGCTTTTACGCGCCCAAGAAAAAAAGAACGCAAGAACAGACATGTACAGCCCTGGCGCCGCAGCCCGCGCCGGAGAGCCTCAAAGCTTCGTGTATGTTACTGTACTTCACTGGCAGCGCAGTACTGTACTTCACTGGCAGCGCGTCGTAGACTAACACCGCTCCATCCACGGAGCCCCGATGACAATTTAGGCCTAGCGACAGAGTACGGAAGACCGCACGCACGGCGACAGCCGCCGAGTACGGTACCGAACGAGTTCACTCGTTTTCCAGTCGCTACCTTTTGGGTATACTAGCGACAAGTACGGCATAGCGCACGCACGGCGGCGGCGGCGGCCGAGTACGGCACTGTATGAGTTTACGGGTTTTCCAGTCGCTAGCTTTTGGGTATACGCACTAACTCTTCCTACACATGCTGGATAACTACGACGTTGACAGAATTAAAATAAAATCAGCTTACCTCCTATCTTTAGACGGCTAGCGCAACAGAAGTAGCTGCTGCTCGGCCTGCGTACTTTTCGAACGAGAACGATCCTGACGTCACGTTCACATAGCGGCTGATTTCTAGTGTTGCCGGGGCCTAGAGCGGCTAGTTTCGGTTTTGTTGGCCGTGCCCCAAACAAAACTTTGAGGCATCCATATCTTTAAAACTACGCACAGTAACGAGGAAAAAATTACACCTTGCAATTCAGGGACGCTGACTGCACTAAAAAGAGTCATAATCCCAAAATCGAAAGTGTGGACCAGAGTTTCCCTTTAACGACAACCAAGACCACAAACTTGATGACCTTGATGATGAACCCGATGACGATACCTACGACAAGTGTGGTATCTGCCACGAAGACGAACAGGACGACGACGCTTGGTTTGTCACTCAACGAAAGGAGGAAGTTTGCCAGCTTGGTCACATTTTGATGCAAGCCACAACTTCCTGACGATGACTGCTATAATCTTTGTCGCCACGACGCCCAGTTTCGGCCTGGCTACGAACTGTGAATCTAAACACCAGTTCATCATCGCAGCAAGGAACTGTTAAAGTGGTGCTTCGACCTCAAGGTTATTCGCTACATGAGACCTAATTTGTAAGTCGTTGGCCAATGGCACATCAACATTGTGACGCCGCCCTCTGCGACCCGAAGGCGATTGACGTCTTCCGACTAAACTGAACGAGGTAAGCTCGGTAGGACTGTGAAACTCTGCTATTTACGTGACTCTGTATTTTGACCTAGTCTTGTTTAAGCTGTTTATTTCATTTTGTGTTGCATAAAGACAATGAGTCTTTCCCAAGAGGAGAGTAATGCTGCGTGCAAAAAGCTGAGTCAGCAGCGTGATCGACTCTCATGCCGCTGACCCCGCCAGCGCATGTCCTTTTTATCTTTCTTTTGTTTGCCTGACGGGAATGATGAATGATGAGTGGACTCGAGAATTTTTTTTGTTTGAGCTCGGAAACTTCTAGATACCCACGCGCTTACAAAAGGACCTTCGCATGGCTGCTTGAGGCAGTTGTCCTTCCGCCACCGCCAAAGGTCTTTGTTACTTTATGTTTCTCAGCGCAAATTCGGCGCATTACACATTGATTTTAAGTTTTGTTAATAAGCACGTTTTTATTCGTGACAATCGATGGCGAATAGAATTTCTCGAACTTTTTTCAAAGGGCAATGTACTAATTGTTGGGTAAAAACAAACCAATGAAAGCTAGGTTTAGCGAGCCCGTGCTGGACAGAGGAAGTGCAACTGAAACGCTTCTTACATTTTATGTTGATTTTTTTACGACACCATATTCTCAGCCGTGTCAGTCTACAAAGGTCTGAACTGTCGAAAATATTTGACCACGCAGGAGAGCCGGAATGCATAAGTATTTCCCGCTCACAACATCAAATTCAACGAGTCTCATCAATCGAACGACAGATATTGTATTTACCCCTCACTGCCGCGTTATCTGAATAGGATCTGAGAAGTCTTTAGAATAACAGGATATCCAATATAGAGTGTCGATGATACTCACTTCACGACGATCGGACGGAATACGGCTTGTTTTTGGGACAAGTTTTGAAGAGAACTACTTTGTTTCGCACATCACCAAAGCAAATGAACGTACGTGTGTAATCCGTCCCCATAC